TAGCCCTGCTGCGTGCAAGCAGCAGAGCTCACCTGTCAGGTGAAAGCATTCGGGCGGCCACGCTGCGGCCCGGTTGCTTTCACACAGCCCATAGTGCCAGCCTCCGCCCCCCCACGTGAACCTCCCCCCGCCTGCTGTGTCTCCCAGGCTCCGCTTGCCCACCTGTGGGCTCGGGATCGGTTCAGCTTGTGCCATGGGGTAGAGGTGAGGGAGGAGAGCGGATGCGTCTGCTCCCCTTCCCTTCTTGTACTGACCCGGAAGTGACTTTATGATGTCACTTCCGGGTCCCCATTGACAAATTCTCAGCCATCGAGGCCAGGAAAGAATGTAATACAGTGTGATGTGCACTACATTACATTCAGTGGAGCACAGGGGAGACATGCAGGGTCTTTTAGACCTTGGATGTCTCAATAAAGAGAACCTGTTACCAAAAATCATCACATAGGGGACTTTTGTCCCTTATGTGCTGAAAAAAAATGTTTTTTTTTTCCGTTTTTTTTTTTTTAATTGTAAAAAATTTAAGTTGCAGCCAAGCATAGCATCACCTCAAAAAAATAAAATAAAAATTTAGGCCCACCCCCACATATACGCACATGCAAACTTAAAAGCACACGCTGGGGCGCCTACACATGAAAACGTCGATTGCTATACACATGTTGCATATCGCCGTGCACGCCAAAATGAGAGCAATAGTTGTAGCACGAGACATCCTCTGTAAACCTATACTGATGACCTATAAGGGGCTTTAAAAGTGTCACCTATAGAAAATATAGGGTACTGAAGTTCGTCGCTATTTCACGCATACATGCAAATTTAAGGTTTGACATGTTGGATATTTATTTACTCGTTGAAACCTCTACTTTTATATTTTACAAAACAAAATAGTGTAATTATTGCTTTTTTGTGCTCTAAAATGAACTTAAATGTATTTTTTTTACTGAAATTTTGCGGTATAATCGGTAATATCATGCGACATACAAAATTGTAGCTACCACTAATTTATGCTCTAGGGTCTCTGCTTTCAGAAAATATATAATGCTTGGGGATTTTGTGTAATCTTCAAGCCCAAAATTATTTTTTAAACGTCTGCAAAAACAGCTCTGGCAGCGAAAGGGATAAAGAATAAACCCGACACCCCCCTTTCAGGACAAGCACCCAATCTGTGCTCATTACACTGCATTACACTGCAAAATGTATCTCTCATAGTCCGCCATTACGGAGTACAACTTTATAAGTGTATAGTTGCTCTTCTGAGTGCTTGACTTCTTCTGAACACTCTGGTAGACACTGGTGTGGAGGCAATTAGGATCACTGCTGCAGGTGACAGACTGGTGATACTGGCACTGGTGTGGCAGCAATCGGGGACAATGTTGGTGAATGCACTGACACTGTGACTGATGTGGCAGAAATCAGGTTTCTGCTGCTGGCTTACGCTGGTCTAGCAATAATGGTGTGGCTAGCAATCAAGAACACTGTTTCTGGGACACAGGACTGGTGTGGCAGGGATCAGGAGCACTGTTGCCTGCTGCATTTGTCTGGTGGTGCTGGCATTGGTGTGGATCAGGGACTTTGTGGCTGGCTGCACTGGTCTGAGGACACTGCACTGATGTGGCGGTGATCAACAACACTGTGGCTGGGTGCACTGGTTTGGTGACACTGTGTACTGGTGCACAATTTCCTCTCACAGCTGATAGGTGGGTGAGAATAAATGGAGAATGTAGCCTATGTTTACATGTGTGATTGCTTTCATTGGTCACAGCAACCACCTGGCACAGGGCCAATTTCATTATCTCTGTACTGGTTTCTGATTTTGCAATGAACACAGCCATCAGATTGTATTGTATGATGGCTTGTTGCCTATACTGTAAAATCAGGAAAATAGGATTTCTGACCTTCCAGTAAATTCGGTTTCCTGTAGTTAGTACAGTACAGAAAACAGCACCCTCCCCTCTGTTCTTATTATCTCCCTTTTTGCTAGCTACAAAACTAAAGCTAGTTGGGAGTGGGAGGAGTTATTTTAGGGATTATCCCTGCTGCCTTCCAATCACCCTGAAGTTAGCTGCATATAACCCAGTCTTGTTGATTTTAAAGCAGTATTAAACCCTTTAAAGCAGCATTTATTATATTGCAGGTAATCGTTTTTTAGATATGATGGTGGCTTATGTTTTCTTTTCTAGGCTTTCATCTATTTTCATTTGGTGATCTGGCCAGTAAATCTGTTTTTCAAAAGAACAAGCTCTCTTCTAGATGTATCAGTTTACATGGATGGGACTAACCATTCCACACTGGCAGAGAGGTCTTACAATGATCAGCTTTTATTTATGTAAAACCTTTATCCCAAAAGAAAAAAAAAGTTTTGCTGTAACTAATTATAAAGTGCGATCTGGAGTTTGGCTTCGATTTGTTAGTGTATCTAAATCTGCTAGTATATTGAACACTACCCTACCCAGTAGATTGACAATTCTGCTGTGCCTCCTGTACTCATTCATCCAGAGTGGGGGCACTTTAATGCGGGATGTGTTTTACTGTCCAGATCACCAGGTGAAAACAAAGGGGGAAAAGTCTAGTAAAAAATAAATAAATAATGCAGCCACTGCATCTAAATATTGGTAAGCAGCAATATATTACATTTTTGGGTTTAATACCACTTTAAAGTGGAGCTAAAGGCAACAATTAAAAACTTACAAGCAGGCAGGCTGTTTTGTCACAGAAGAGACATGCAATGTCTCTTCTGCAACAGAATAAACCTACTTGCCTGCTTGATGCAAACAAATGAAGGACACACCAGGTACGGGAAAAGTATTAAAACTTGAAAGATCTAATACAAAGTAAAACAATAACACTCCCATTATCATTTGTTGTCTTCAACATAAAAACCATCACAGAGCCACGTTCTGTAAATATTTCTTTCACACAAGATTCCTTCTTTCCCATCAGTCCCCACCAGTGCTGACCTTCTAGCTGACAGCCTGGTGGTACCAGCGCTATTTGGAACTTTTTTTTTTTAGGATCTGGCTTCGTCGATTGTTTTACGTTCAAGACAATTCATTTTAATGTGGGTGTAATATTGTTTGATTTTGTATTAAATCCTTGATAGTTTCACACTTTTCCTGCGCTCTGTCTGCTCTGCTTTAAAGAAGCTGGTTTCTTGTACTGTACTCCCAGTAAACAGATTTCACTGGTAGCTCACAAATCCTATTCCATTCAGGACATTTGATTGCTTTTAACAGCTGTATACCATAGCTAAGTGTATGGTAGTCCACAGGGTAACTGTTGCTGAATCAAATTAGTACATGTAATGTGAAGCCATATTGGGAAAACAAAATTTAAAATGAAATTAAGTGGTGGGTAATTGGTGTTATAAAGCAAAAACGTGCCAGCACTATCACATCCTGCCAAATTTCATATTCTTATGAGTTCAAAAAGCTTGGGCAAGCCCACTGTCCTTGGAGAGTGTCTGGCAATAGGCCACTCTGGCACTATGTAAATGTATGCCTGCTCTCTCCATACACAAGGATTTAGGTGGCACTGGAGAGTGGGGTTTTTTTTGTTAACATACAGGTACCATAGAATTCCAATTTTATAGTCATTATTTACTGCCCGTAAAACCATTGCTATGCAGTGGTTATCTTCTTGTCCCACCACATTCGAAGATGGAACATAGCTATGTTATTTCTATAGTTTGTTTTATTAGAATTCTGCTGTCTTACTTGGGTTTAGTTAGAGGGTTTACTTCAGGTCAGGGCTGGAGGACTCTACGGGTCAGTCATCTGGTACCTCCCTCTGCTCTAGAAACTTGGAGATGCTTCTAGAAATCAGGTAGGCGAAGGTGAGGAGGGGCTGATTTGCATATTTATGAGAGTCTGACCAATCTCAGGCAGGAGGCCTGCCTGTGTTGTAGATCAGCCCATAAATATGACAGAGCCTGGCCAGCAGGGAAGTCAGGTGGAAGATGAGGTGCTGTTGTGTAGCCTGGGGGAGGGGGGGGGTCTTGCTTCCGGACTGGAGGAGGGAAACTGAAAGAGGGGGCTCCACTGCCCTGAAGTCCATCTGGGAAGGACAGCCTGCCAAGCTTTGAGAGGAACCAGCCCAGCTACAGAGGCCTGAAAGCCGTTCTATCCATAGCTGTAGGACAAGGATGGTGTGAGTACCTCTTTAACCTCCAGGGCCTAGAAGGGAGAAGTCTGCTGGATGCCAGTTCTGGCAAATCTTCAGGGGACAGTTCATAGCTTACCCAGTTCCTTGTCCTGGGATCAGATACCATAGCCAGGTTGGCTGTTATTTTGTACGCTTAGGGGACTTAGAGCTACAAGTTGAGACGTTGCTAAAATCCATTCAAGGGGACTTGGAGCTCCTGCAAGTTGCTGTACTTTGCTAAAGTGACTGTCAGGATTCTGACTGGACCACAGTCATTCATCTACCATTGTAGCATTTTCTAGAGAAGGATGTTGTCCTCAATTCATTATTTTGCAATCAGATTGGGCATCCCATAACCCCTTTACCCTATCCAAGTTAAATTCCCTAATACAACTAGAAAACAAGCCCGTGGGCTGTTTCTTGTTTCTGGATGCAAGTGGAAAAATGTGTGTTTCCTGGCTGTGTAGAAGGTAAAGGGCCACCCAAAAACAGTGGCTCTCAAGAGGGTAGCACTATATATGTTTGAGGTAAGCTGGAACCTACCACAACCGTCTCTGACAACTTGCTGATCAAGCTTTGAGATGTATCTCTTTTCACTGCTATGTCTTTCATATCACTGTGTGTTTTTTCTTTGTGAGCTTTGTAAAAGTTTGAAACTTTTTTCAATAAACATTTTGAAAAAAAAAAAGTTACCACCAAGCACCCTTTGTTGCTACCCAACATTTTGTTTATCTTGAGATTTGACGGTTTGAGTGAATATTCATATTGGTACAATTCCCCATTGGTAACATTCTGTTTTTAAGAAAATAACTAAACTGAGACCAGAAATAGCATGAAATGTATCTGTTTTGTTTTTTTTTAAGGGAGAATACCCTGTCCTTATTGAAAAAAAGAAGTATCTCAGCACTAGGCAGTGGTCGTCCACTGGTCTCTGAACTGGTAAGTATAAAATTTAGCTGTCACACTGAAACACTACATGTGCAGGGATTAAAAACCCTTTTTTGCATGCTAGTCTAATATTGAAAATCAATAGGTTACTAAAGTTAAGAACATTTTTGTACAACAGCATACAACTTGGGAAGTGATGTAATGTATTAATTCGTTTCCCAGCATGCATGTGGTCATGTTTTTTTTTTTTGGGGGGGGGGGGGGGCGACTGTCATGATTATCTTTCGAAAGCTGTGTACGAATGATCAGATTATCGTATGATTGCTTCGAAAAGCGGTATTTTGCGTCCAATTTTCTGTTCTGTACTACTGTATACTAGGCATTAGGCTGTTTGTCAGTTAAACGTTAGTAACTATCCCTGCTCATACTTGGTATATTTGTTGCTTTAACCACTTCCCGACTGCCCTATAGCAGAAATACTGATACAGGGCGGCACGGGTGCGCAAAATATATACGTGATTTTGCATCTCCACAGCTGTCAATCACTGGGTCCCGGCCAGTGATTACTCACCAGCGCCTGGTGATTCATGAGCATCTCTGACAGGGAGAACTGTTTATAAACAAAATAGTTCTCCCTGTCAGCTCGTGCACATTGCTTTGGATGGCTGTGCACAGCTCAACCATGCAAAGCAGTGTGCTTACAGTGAAGCACACGGACACAGCACATAGTGAAACAGCACACAGTTAACCCTTTGATCGCCCTTCATGTTAACCCCTTCCTGCCCAGTGTCATTAGTACAGTGTCAGCTGTACAGCTTTTTCTTTTTCTTTTTTTTTTCTTTTAGCACTGATCACTGTATTGGTGTCACTGGGGATGTCCATGACACCGAGTCAGTTACCCCCAGTGTCAGAATGTCTGCCGCTGTCCCGCTATAAGTCGCTGATCACCACCGTTACTAGTAAAACATTAAAAAAAAATCCAAGTATATATACCGCCATTTGTAAACACTATAACTTTCACATAAACCAATTAATTTACACGTATTGGGATTTTTTTAGCAAAGACATGTAGTAGAATACGTTTTGCTCTAAAATTTCTGACGGAATTTTGTTTTGTAAATGTTTTTACTGGACATGTTTAACCACTTGTCTACAGTACACTAATAACCCCTTCCTGCCCAGGCCAATTTTCAGCGCTGTCGCAATTTGAATCACAATTGCGCGGTCATGCAACACTGTACCCATATGAAATTTTCATCATTTTTTTGGAGACAGCGCTTTCTATTGGTGGTATTTAATCACCTCTGGGGTTTTTATTTTTTTGCTAAACAAACCAAAAACAACTGAAAATTTTGGGAAACAAATTTTGTAAATAAGTGATTTTTCTCCTTCACTGATGTGTGCTAATGAGGCTGCAGTGATGGGCACTGATAGGATGCACTGATAGGTGGCACTGATGAGGATGCACTGGTAGGTGGCACTGATGGGCATTGACAGGCATCACTGATGGGCACTGAAAGGCAGCACTCATATATGGCACTGATAGGCGGCACTGACTGGCACTGATAGGTGGCACTGACTGGCACTGATGGGCATGAAAGGGAGCTCAGATGGGCACTATGTGGCATTGATGTGCACTAGTAGGCACTGATATGTGGAATTGATGGGCACTGACAGGTGGCACTGCTGGGGCTACACTGATCATCAGGGCACACTGATCATCTGTGCCCTGATGATCAGTGTACATGTTCCCTCTGGGTAATGCCGATTACATTCAAAGTGTGACAGCGCTGAAAATTGGCCTGGACAGGAAGGGGGTATAAGTGCCCTGTAGGCAAGTGGTTAAAGGTCAGAAGTTTATTGTAAATCAGGGTTTAGCCTTTCAGTGTTTTCAGATAGAATTTCCGTCATGCCTACCTAAAATAGCTCTGTCTAATACCTCTGTTTATGACCCAAATGGGTCTCATTTCCTTCTTGGACCTGCAACTTTCATTTTATGAATGACATTTACAAGCAATTTGTTTCTTTTATGTGAGACTGAAATTAAAAGCAAAGTATGGGGTTTGAAACAAACAAAAAATGTATACTAGCCTAGGTGGACGCAGCATCAATCTGATGCAACATCTGTCCCCCGCCGTGTCTGCACTGCGAACTGAGAGATGAAACCCCTTTGATCGCTCACTTCTCTCCACTCAGAGGCACTTTTTCCTTTTGTGTTTCTCTCAAAGTGTAGTATGAAAGATGTTTATTTCTTAACAATAAAACTTCACTCACATGATGGAGGTTAAAAGAGGCTCATCAGTGAAATAAAGTAGAGGAATGATGTCCAAGTCCCACTGAAGGCAGCCGCAACTCGCGTTGAGGGAGACTGAAGATGGAGAAAAAAAACATATGCCAGCCAACATATGTGTCTCTGATGGAGGGCGGTGTAATGCACACCCTTGAGTGCAGCATCAGCTTGATGACGTAGGAGGGAACAGCATGCAATGCGACACATTTCGGGGCTTGCACAAGACCACTGGAGGGCAAGCGTGCTCCTTTCTCAATCAAAAGCTCCCCTCCACTCAGAGCGGTGACTGTGAGTCGCCGGCTCTCTGCTCTGCCCCTCCAGTGCTCACTGGAGTGCCAGACTGGAAGGGGCAGGAGCAGCTGGCTCAAACTCTTAGCGGTTCGCTGAGAGGCTGATTCAGCTGCCAGTCCAGGCATCTGGGTGGACCCTGACTGTAAAGTTAGGATCAATCTAGAACCTGGACCAGCTGAGTGATGTCAGCTGACAGCAGGCTCATAGGAGTGTAGAACAAGCTTTGGCCATACTTTTCCTTCAAAACATTCTGTATCGCTTCCTGCAGTCACCCAACCTACCATTCACTGGCATTTTGTAGCACAGACTCTTATTTTGTTACATGAGGCTCAGTGTACTGTGCATTTACGCCCCCCCCCCCCCCCCCCCACACACACACACTGTTGTGCTAATTGATATGTTATATAGAATTACATTGTTTTTTGTTAACTTTCTTTAGGATCCTGATGCCCCCATTAGACAGAAACTTCCTCTGGATGATCTGGATCGTGAAGATGACATTGCATCAGACTTCTAAAATATCTCTTTACATTGATTAGAGCTGGCATGACAGATGAGGTATGAAGAGCTGATTTTCCTTTTTTTCCTGTTTTTTTTTGCCTTCTTCATCTATAGAACTGTTGTAATCCGAGTATCTTTTGGCTTGAAACTGCAAATTTGAGCTATTTGCTTAGTATTTGAAAATGTTCATGTATTCTCCATTATTGTTGTTCTTAATTGCAAATTATGTAAATACAACTATATGCTTCATTAAATATGTCAGTGAGTCCTGTGGTGAATTTATTACATGCAATAAATTTATATATGAATTTTATTACAAAAAAAAGTTGTGGTATTTGGATTTAAGCAAATCGTGTCACAATGACAGAATCCTGCAGACCTGTCCCATAGAAATGAAATGGTTTATATCGCCTTTTTTTTTTTTTTTTTTTTTACAAGGCTTTCCATTGTGAAGATATGTTTGTTCATAAGTATTCTTCTGTTGAAGTAAGCCCTAATGAATGAATTCTGTCTTCTTGTTAGGCCCAGCGCCTGTGTAAGAGATGTGGTCAATCCTGGCGAGCAGCAACACTGGAAGGATGGAAGCTTTATCATGATCCAAATATAACTGGAGGTAGTTTTTTTGTTTTTAACCCCCTGACCTTTCCATATCTTGCACTTAGTACTTTGTTGTTTTGGGGTATCTGTTATCATTTTTATTATAATTTTGTTATATTGTTTCTGTTGCAGGTGGCGAGATGCGGCCAGTGGAAGGCAATCCACACCGATGTGTGTGGAAAGCTTGTTGTTGGCGCATGGCAGATGATGTAAGCTATTGCTGTATACAGTTTGTGTTCCGCAACACACAAGGTTTTTGTCTTCTAACATTTCACTCCCTCTCCACCAGTATTTCTCTTTCACATACTGCAGAGGGGTCAATAGTATGCAGTATTCATTCAGATGTGTGTATATCACACCAGGAAATATATTTGGTTTAATAACAGATATTTTCACAAATATGTAGAGAAAAAGATATTTTTTCTTAAGCTGTAAACTACTTTGCAACGTCATTTGTGCCTTTCCATTACCTTTCCACAATAAAATATTTTTTTCTGTGTGTTTCAGGAGCAGTTCAGCAGATATGAAAGAGCAATTTATGCAACCTTTAGTGGAAATCTAAAGCAAGTATGTTTGTAGTGAAAACCTATTTACAAATATGTTCTCTTTGTTTTTTAGTTTTTCATATACTATAGGGGCCGGTTCACACCACAACGCAGTGTGAGAAAAGTGCGTTCCGTGCGTGTTTCCTGCACTGCATTCAAAACTCACTTCCTTTGCTATCTGCTGCAGGTACCGATACATTGTTAACCAGACCCCAAACGCAGATAGTAAATACAGTGCTTTTGCAGGCACCAGATTGCATGGTACTTCATTACCATGCAATTTAGTGTGGCCCATTTTTCAAAAGAAACAAATGGACTGCAAAAATGCACAGTAAAGGAACGAGCAGGAATCGCAGACTGTGTTCCTGTGCAAATCAGGTGTGAACCAGCTCTTAGGCTAGGTTCACGTCTGCACTGCGCAGGGTGGTTGTAGGTGTGGGAATCACAGCTGTTCATGGATCCGCAACCACCCTGAGCCAAATCACACTGCTTTTAAGAGATGCCAGGGGATGCCATTCATTCTTAATGTCACCCCACAAATTTCAGCTGGCTGCACATTTGTGGGTGCGGGAACCGCAGGGAATTCACATAGTCAAAAGCACAATGTGATTTCCCTGGGGCCGAGTTTTGAAAAAGGTGCAGGCATCTTTTTTTTTTCTTCAGGAAATGCGGTCGTTGCAGCCCATTCAAATGCCCACGCAACCCGCACAAGTGTGAACAGTATGCTTAATGTTGAAAGTGTGTCACTTAAACACTGTAATAAAAAATTTTAAGAGGACCAATATTTTCCATATGTTTCTTTTATTACTAGCTTCTTCCTGTGTGTGAAACATGGGAAGATACAGTCTGGGCATATTTCCGTGTGATGGTCGACAGTCTGGTTGAGCAGGAGATTAGAGCCTCGCTTATCTCCTCTAGTGAAGAAGATGAACTACCTAGGGAGTACTTGGAAGCACAGTAAGAGTTTTTTTGTTTTTGTTTTTTTTTTTCTACACCTAATTTATTTAAGGAACTATCCTTACATAGCTATAATTTGTTTATTGTTCCTTTTGTACCTCCTAGCTGGACCCTAGACAAAGTCTTTGAGGAGCTTCAGGCCACTGATAAAAAGGTGACTGTTTAAATGCCTGTTATGTTGGAACACTTTTGTTTTGGAGTATTGTATAATCAAGTTTTCTGGGGTTTTTTTTTTTTTTTTTTTTTTTTTTTAGAGGGTGTTGGAAGAAAACAAAGAGCATTACCACATTATTCAGAAGTATATAATCCTTGGTGATGTAGATGGTAAGTATCAGAGTGATTAGTTTACCTAATCACGATCTACTGTATTACAATAGATTGCATTTTTTAGAAACACGTTTGTGAAATGTTTTGCCATAGATTGAACAATCAAGCACAGTGCTTTTTTTCTACGTCTTCATCTCATTTAGGCAGTGCCAGTAAAGCTATACTTTTTTTTTAAAATTTTGATGTGATTATAGGGAGTTCCACCCTCGTGTTAGCCATTTCTTTTTAAATCGTTTTTCTCCAAACTAATTTTAAGAGAAGGGACATACAGCTAACTCATTATGACTGCAGTTTGACAAAAATAAATTTGCAAATAAAATAGCCAACCTGGGGACTGAGCATAGAAACCTTTAAAATAGTTGCGCTATCCAAGAATCAAATAAAACCTGTTAAAGTGGTTGTAAAGGCTTGAATTTTTTTCTTTAAAATAATAAACACATCATACTTATCTGTTCTGTGCAATGGTTTTGCACAGAGCAGCACCGATCCTCCTCTTCTCAGGTCCCCTGCTGGCACTTCTGTCCCCTCCACCTTGCCTTTGCCCACAGAGCAAGCTGCTTGCTCTGGGGACTCTACTGCGTGTTTGTTCCAGAGCAGCCTCTGTGTGTCTATGGGACACGCAGAACATGGTTCAGCCACACCCCCACCCCCAACTGGCTGTGATTGACAGCAACAGGAGCCAATCCTGTGTCTCAGCCTGCTGCTGTGTTTCAGCCAATGAGAGAGAGACGCTGCTCTCATGCACTTTGCTAGATTGGGCTTAGGTATGGGGGGCTGGGTGAGCTTTTTGGCATTTTCTTTTCCATATGTATTGTGGCCTTTCCTTTGCACACCTTCCATGATAATATTTTATATATCAATCTTATTTTATAGTTTGTTCAGTTTCTATAGGAAGAATGGAAAGAAGTAGACAGAGGGACAGGATTTCAGTTAAAGTTGGAGGAATGGGAGGGAGGATGGACAAAGAGGACAAGAGGCGTTGGATGGGTATTTCACAGTGAGAAGGAAATTGGAAGGATAACATAGGGTACAGTGCAGTTTAAGTGGATATATAGTCTTTTAAGTTATATGTGTGTTAAAGTATTACCCCAGCCAAAATTGTTATTTTTCTCCTGCATTCATTGACGGACACAGCAGAAATATTTAAGATTTTGACCGTTGGATTATAGCGCCAGCTGCCATTATAGGAGACTAGGCACAAAAACAAAAGCACAGCCTAGTGGTGGCTCAAGCTCCCATCTACTAGAGACAAGTGTGGACAGCACAGTGGCTAAATGGTTAGCACTTCCGCTTGGCAGTACTAGGGTTGTTGGTTTGGATCCCAGCCACGGCACCACCTGCCTGGAGTTTGCATGTTCTACCAGTACCTGCGTGGGTTTTCCTTCCTCTACTCAGGTTTCCTCGCACACTCTAAGGACATGCTGGTAGGTTAATTGGATCCTGTCTAAATTGGCCCTAGTATATAGGGACTTTAGATTGTACACTCCTTGAGGGTTAGGGACTGATGAGAATGTATAATATACAGCGAGGAACAGAATTATTTGAACACCCTGCGATTTTGCAAGTTCTCCCATTTAGAAATCATGGAGGTGCATTCCCACTCAGACAGAATTAAAAAAAAAAATTCAGGAAATCACATTGTATGATTTTTAAAGAATTTATTTGTCTTGCACTGCTGAACATAAGTATTTGAACACCTAAGAAACAGCAAGAATTCTGGCTCTCAAAGACCTGTTACTGTGCCTTTTAAAAAAGTCCACCTCTACTCCACTCATTAATCTAACTTAGTAGTACCTGTCTGAGCTCTTTAAAGACACCTGTCCACCCCACAGTCAGTCAGACGCCAACTACTACCATGGGCAAGACCAAAGAGCTGTCAAAAGACACCAGAGACAAAATTGTGGATCTCCACAAGGCTGGAAAGAGCTACGGGGCAATTGCCAAGCAGCTTGGTGAAAATAGATCAACTGTTGGAGCAATTGTTAGAAAATGGAAGAGGCTAAAGACGACTGTCAGTCTCCCTCGGACTGGGGCTCCATGCAAGATCTCACCTCGTGGGGTATCACTGATGATAAGAAAGGTGAGGAATCAGTCCAGAACTACAAGGGAGGAGCTGGTCTATGACATGAATAGAGCTGGGACCACAGTTTCAAAGGTCACTGTCGGTAGAACACAACGCCGTCATGGTTTCAAATCATGCATTGCACAGAAGGTTCCCCTGCTCAAGTCATCACATGTCCAGGTCCGTCTGAAGTTTGCCAATGACCATCTGGATGATCCAGAGGAGGCATGGGAGAAAGTCATGTGGTCAGATGAGACCAAAGTAGAACTTTTTGGTCTAAACTTCACTCGTCGTGTTTGGAGGAAAAAGGATGAGTTGCATCCCAAGAACACCATCCCGAATGTGAAGCATGGGGGTGGTAACATTATGCTTTGGGGGTGCTTTTCTGCAAAGGGGACAGGACGACTGCTCTGTATTAAGGAGAGGATGAATGGGGCCATTTATTGTGAGATTTTGAGCAACGACCTCCTTCCCTCAGTCAGAGCATTGAAGATGGGTCGTGGCTGGGTCTTCCAACATGACAACGACCCGAAGCACACACAGCCAGGATAACCAAGGAGTGGCTCCATAAGAAACATATCAAGGTTCTTGAGTGGCCTAGCCAGTCTCCAGATCTAAATCCAATAGAACATCTTTGGAGGGAGATGAAACTCCGTGTGGCTCAGCGACAGCCCCAAAACCTGACAGATCTAGAGGAGATCTGTGTGGAGGAGTGGGACAAAATCCCTGTTGCAGTGTGTGCAAACCTGGTCAAGAACTACAGGAAACTTTTGACCTCTGTAATTGCAGACAAAGGCTTCTGTACAAAATATTAACACTGATTGTCTCAGGTGTTCAAATACTTATGTTCAGCAGTGCAAGACAAATTCTTTAAATCATTACAATGTGATTTCCTGATTTTTTTTTTTTTTTTTTTTTTTTTTTTTTTTTTAATTCTGTCTCTCAGAGTGGGAATGCACCTACAATGTGAATTTCAGACCCCTCCATGATTTCTAAGTAGGAGAACTTGCAAAATTGCAGGGTGTTCAAATACTTCTGTTCCTCACTGTATATGTAAAGCGCTGCGTAAACTGATTGCACTATATAAGTACCTGTAATAAATAAAATAATAACGGTTTATCAGAGATCTAAGATCTGTGCTGGAAATCTTGGTATTACAGGTGCAAGTCTTCCACACCTTCAGTTGACAGCAAACTGGGTACAAGTCTTACAGATGGCAATGTAATTATTCATATCTTGATTTCCCACCCTTAAGCTGACACTGCTTTGGGGTTTCCGAATCATCAAGATCTTCTAGCTCTCTGCTGCATCCTCCAGTGAGCGGAAGAGAAAATGGGATTTTTGTGTTTAGCATAAAATCTTTTCCTCTGCGTACATTTTTAAAGTACACAGTATACACCCCTCTGGTTATGTCTGCAACCAGTTCTCTGTACTGCTTTGTGACTAAACTGTCTCTAGCAGATGGAGTGCGTTTGGCCACTAGTAGGGTGATTGTATCATTTTAGTATGGCTGATCTATATGATACTCTATTATGCATTGCTTCACACATTTTTCTATTGTTAAAGTGAAAAAAAAAAAAAAACCAGAAAAATACTTTGTGAGCTGAGTATATGTTTTATTAAGCAAGGAATGTTTTGTTCTGAATTTCTCATATTTCAGTGTACTTTTAATAAATTGTAGGTTTAATGGATGAGTTCAGTGAATGGCTGTCAAAAGGGAAAACGCTTCTTCTAGGTCATCTGCTACGCTTCATGGCACATCTAATATTATTTTTTCGAACACTGGGTCTGCAAACAAAGGTAAAATTTCTCTCAAAGTATAAGGCTGGGAAATGTGTTGTATGTGCTTTCCACCTTCAGATGCCTTAATTATTGCCTGTCACTCAAGTCTGTACAGCCTGATTTTTAAGCAGCTTTGAATCTCACATATCTAACTAGGGTCAGGATATGTTTGGCTTCAATAAATGGAGCATCACTTTTTTCTGTTAACGTACACTTCATTTGTTCTCATCCAGTCTTTTCACTCTTGTTCATGCTGCTTTTGTGCTCATACTTGGAGCCTCTGTCACATTGCAGCTGCCTGTTTCAGCATTTTGTATTTATTTCATGGCTGTATTAAGTACATGTCCTTGTAAATAAAATGTTCTCAGTTAAGGACATGGATGTTGGTTCTTATTTAACTTGCTGCAGGACTAATCTAGTTGGGAGATGTCGGCAGCAAGATCTCAGCGAATACCTCATACCTGCATGTATCATAACACTACACGCGTACAGGTGAAACTCAAAAAATTTGAATATCGTGCAAAAATTCATTTATTTCAGAAATGCAACTTAAAAGGTGAAACTAATATATGAGATAGATTCATTACATGCAAAGCAAGATAGTTTAAGCAGTGATTTGTCATAATTGTGTTGATTATGGCTTACAGCTCTAGAAAACCCCAAATCTACAATCTCAGAAAATTAGAATATTGTGAAAAGGTGCAATATTCTCGGCTCAAAGTGTCCCACTCTAATCAGCTAATTAAGCCATAACACCTGTAAAGGGTTCCTGAGCCTTTAAATGGTCTCTCAGTCTGGTTCAGTAGGAATCGCAATCATTAGAAAAACTGCTGACCTGACAGTTGTGCAGAAAACCATCATTGACACCCTCCATAAGGAGGGAAAGCCTCAAAAGGTAATTGCAAAATAAGTAGGATGTTCCCAAAGTGCTGTATCAAAGCACATTAATAGAAAGTTATGTGGAAGGGAAAAGTGTGGAAGAAAAAGGTGCACAAGCTGCAGGGATTACCGCAGTCTAGAGAGGATTGTCAAGAAAAGTCCATTCAAAAGTGTTGGGGACTTTCACAAGGAGTGGACTGAGGCTGGAGTCAGTGCATCAAGAGCCACCACACACAGACGGATCCTGGACATGGGCTGAAAATGTCGTATTCCTCTTGTCAAGCCGCTCCTGAACAACGTCAGAAGCGTCTTACCTGGGCTAAAGATAAACAGACCTGGTCTTTTGCTCAGTGGTCCAAAGTCCTCTTTTCTGATGAGAGCAACTTTTGCATCTCATTTGGAAACCAAGGACCCAGAGTATGGAGGAAGAATGGAGAGGCACACACTGCAAGATGCTTGAAGTCCAGTGTGAAGTTTCCACAGTCTGTGTTGATTTGGAGAGCCATGTCATCTGCTGGTGTTGGTCCACTGTGCTTCATTAAGTCCAGGGTCAACGCAGCCGTCTACCAGGAGATTTTGGAGCACTTCATGCTTCCTTCCGCAGACGAGCTTTATGGGGATGCTGACTTCATTTTCCAGCAGGACTTGGCACCTGCCCACGCTGCGAAAAGCACCAAAACCTGGTTCAATGACCGTGGGATTACTGTGCTTGATTGACCAGCAAACTCGCCTGACTTGAACCCCATAGAAAATATATGGGCATTGCCAAGAGAAAGATGACAGACGTGAGACCGAACAATACAGAAGAGCTGAAGGCCGCTATTGAAGCATCCTGGTCTTCCATAACACCTCAGCAGTGCCACAGGCTGATGGCCATGCCATGCCACATTGAGGCAGTAATTGCTGCAAAAGGGGCCCAAACCAAGTACTGAGTACATATGCATGCTTCTACTTTTCAGAGGTCAGATATTGTTCTATGTACAATCCTTGTTTTATTGATTGCATGTAATATTCTAATTATCTGAGATTGTGGATTTGGGGTTTATGACAAATCACGGCTTGAACTATCTTGCTTTGCATGTAATGAGTCTCTCTCATATATTAGTTTTCACCTTTTAAGTTGCATTACTGAAATAAATGAACTTTTGCACGATATTCTAATTTTTCGAGTTTCACCTGTACATTTACAAACCGTACCCTGGAGCACTGAGTTGGCTAATAATGGCAAGTATAAATGACAGTTAATGGGTTATGGCTCATGTACATAGGCTTCATACTCAAGAGTGGGTCAAGTGCAGGTTTAAAGGAAGTGTCTCGATTTTAGTTGCCATTGAGCTACTTCTGACCTTTTTTTTTAATCCTTCTGAACTGCTTTTCCTTACTAGGACTTGTTTGGAGAGGAAAAAAAAAAACAGTTTAGACTTCTGCCCTTTTACTTAAAGTTGAACTCTGGGGTAAGAAAATATTATTTGAATGTAAGAGTCGTGTATCTACTTAAGGTGTGGAAGATTTTACCCCCTTCACGGAGAGTGCATTCTTTTGCTATTTGGAAGTGCACTACTTTAACTGGCAACAAGTCATGCAACACTGTACCCATATGAATTTTATATAATTTTTTTCACACAAATAGAGCTTTCTTTTGGTGGAATGTAATCACCCCTAGGTTTTTTATTATATAAACAAGATCTTAAATGTTGAAAAAACAATTTTTTACTTTCTGCTATAAAATCTCTCCAAAAAAAAAAAATCAAATTTTCTTCATAAATGTATTACTGTACACTTTCACTGTACTAATGAAGAGGTTAACATCTAGGGGTAATCTAAAGGTTAACTGTGTAGCTAACAAGTGTAATGTGCGCTGCTTTTGCTGGGAGATGTGACTGGTTTATTCCCTGCTCCCTGTGTTTTTAGTAATCACAGGGCTCTGTACTGTCATTTGTTAAGCCGCTCAGTAGGTCCCGGCCATGAGTCATTGGACAGGACCTTCTAATCGATTTTATGCTATGCTAAATGACAGCACAGATGGGGCAGCGGGCATGTACACACTCGTCCCGTACCCGGAAATGCTGGATCACATACATGTACATGATCCAGCACAGAGTGGCTGCAGTGCTGCAGTATATCTACATGGGGCGGTCTGCAAGCGGGTATTCTGTCCTTTATTTTGGAGTATTTTATGTATTTCTTCCAGATCTGTATAGTAATCTATTGTGAAACTTTGCCTTTGTACAGGAGCTTCATATAGTGAAGACGAGTCACTGCTGCTTGCTCTCCTTGTACAGCAAAACTGGTCTTGTCTCCACCCCTCTTGAAGTTTTCTGCAGGCAGCCTGTAGTGAGTGGAGCCTACTGGGCCCCTTCTACAGCTCTGCTCTCCGCACAGGCTATGCACAGTACAGTGATGTCACTGATACTTTAACGAGGCAATATCTGAGTTTGCAATGGCATTAGGTGCACACAAAGTGGATTTATATATTGAGTTTAAATGAGAGTTTCTGTGCCTGGAATTCAGCTTTAAACACAAATTGAACATTGCATGTATACCAGCTCACATATACAGAATACATCAATAGAACTAATTTTATTTATGTTATTTGCTAATTTTAATATAGGAGGAAGTCTCAGTGGAAGTGCTGAAAACTTACATACAGGTCAGTCTACAAAGTGTTTGATGCTGCACAACTATTCTCATATCATTTCCCTCGAATGCTGTATATACCCCAATATGTTTTTTAAAAAAGAAAAGTGATAAGTAGATGAAAGCAATATATAAAAGAAAATGAAGTTGTTACATATGGAGTACCTTTTCTATCTTTTCCGTTGCAAAATGAGTTGGGCCAGGTACGGTGATAAAAATTCTACAAATATTAAAGTCAAATGAGGATAAACCAATATAAACTGGTACAATTAATCTGTAATTTGTCAAATAGATTTTTTATCGTAAATCACAGAACACAGAGTCTTCAAAATCATTACAATAAGGTTATGCTGCCATCCTCCTCCTAAGCATAATCCCTCCCCGTTAGGCGACAATTACGTTTCTTTTGCCGGTGTCATGTTTGTGCAGCTCTCTGCACGAAAATAACTATCTTCTCAGTTCTAACCGCAATCAGGAGACTGGCTTTACCGGTATAATTTTTTTTCTACAGTTTTCCATCACTTGGGAATAGTACCCAGGCCCTCTATCGGACGCAGGTGTGGTCTATAAGGTTTCTGCTCGGCACTGGCCCCTGCGTTGTGGAACCCTCCCGATTATGTATTGTCTTTTGAACCAGTAGGGTGTGATATAGGTCAAGGGCAATGATACCCAGCTGGAGAATCAAGTCCCGGAAGGTCCTTTGGGCAAAGTCTGCCATGATGGATGAAGATGGGGGTCCTGCTGCTGTACTGGTTAGTGTCCTGTGGTAGCCAAGCTAGTGCCCATCCCAGTCTCCTAGTTGGGCAGGACAAGAAATGTGTTGGCTCTTTGGATTGTTTGTTTATTCATTGATGTATTCATTGCTCAACAAAACCCCATGGAGAGTGAGTTCATTAACAAATGGAGTATGGCTTCAGTAGATCCAGTGGTTTCTAATTTCAATAGTTGGCAGAGCCCGTACAGAGGTATTTGCACAAAGCTGGAGGGAGAGGGGCAGGAGCCTGACATTGCACCTTCCATCTGCTGAAAAAATAAATGCACTTTTTTTTTTTCCTTCAAAATTATGTGCATTTATTTTATTTATTTTGAAAAAGGTAAACCTGTCCTTTAAGAATTCCTCAGACAAATGTCTGGAGACTGTATTTAAAGCCTCGTTTGCTTGGTGATGGCAACTTTTCAGCCAACAATTGCATTTATAGGTATCTGCCAAAGTCTCAAGGTCTGGGCTTGTTACATGAGAGAAAGGGACCGTTCTAGTGGAGATAAAAAATCAAGCACAGATCTGGACGATTTTCCTCATTCCCTCAGCTTCTCAGTAGATACACTGAAAGACTCCATACAACAAATTTCTCATCTGGGACTCTTGTCCATACACATGAGCAGCATTCTGTGGCTAAAGTGTTGGTCATTGGAGTTACCCTGCAAGAGGCATGTAGAACATTTACCTTTCCAAGGGGAACGTACATTTGGTCCTTTATGTTCTCACATCTATTATCTCTTAGAAAAGCAATACGGTTAATAAACCTGCTCCTTCTATGTTAACAAAGCATTCCTTTTTGTCAACCTCAGTCTTCGTGCTCTAATCCATAACCTTTGTCCCAATTTCATAAGAAACCATGGAATTCTAAGCCCGGGATCAAGTCCTCTCATGCCAACTTGTTTCGGCTGGGTGAGATGTTTGCAGGCCTTTGTGGGGATTTGGCAGGGGGAGTTTGCAGACGAGTGTGTCCACAATATAGTGGCTCACAGCTACATGCTGGAATGTCCATTTCTCCTTCCCTGCTTCATGCTATCAAATGATTTTTTGAATTCACAAAAAGATTTGCTCTCTGCATGCTCTCAGTCTTGCATCTTCTATGTCAGAGTGATCATTCTAGTTCTAGAGGACAAAAGATTTAGTAATTTCTACTCAAAACTCCCATCTTGGATCTTGACTTAACGAGTCACTGCGAGTGCAGAAATTCCAAATGGTATGGGTGCAGTCAGTGATGGCCTCCCTGCAGCAGAGAGATTTCCTGGCATCGGTGGATATCTACGATGCTTACCAGCACAGTCCGATTTTCTTCATTCCATTTCAATTGGAACATTATGTTGCTATCTTTTTGTCCTAAGCCTCAGACGCCAGAGACAAGGCTCTTCACATTTCTTCATGCGCTTGGTGCTTTCAGAAATTGGACTGGACTGCTGCGATTCGACAGTCTGATTACTTTTTTGTGCTTCCTGATGGCTCAAGAAAGGACACGCAGCGTCCAAGTCTCCAATTTCTTAACGGATTCATCAGTTCTTTTTTTCTCAAGCTTGCGGTTTTGAAGGCAAAGTTCCACCGTTTTCTTTGATGGTTCATTCTACCAAGAGTGTCAGTGCTTCCCAAGTTATTAGTCTCCTGGGCTTCGGTAGCTTATGTTTGTAAAGCCTCTACTTGGTCTTAGTTTCCTATTTTTACAAAGTTTTACCAGGTGGATATTAGAGTAGCTGAGTATGCTACCTTTCGCGTGTTTTGCAGGCTACTATGTGAGGTTCTACCCTGTTTTGCTTTGGTTGTTTGGGGCCTTTTGCTGTGTTGCCCTTCCCTTATATTCAGTGCTTTGGGACATTCCTATTGTAATCACTCTGAAGGCACTCTGTATGATAAAGAAAATGGAGGTTTTGGTTTACTTGTAAATTCTTTCCTTGGAGTACATCAAGGGACAGAGAAGAGATCCAACCACTCAATCTTGAGGTTTATGGTTTGATACAAAAGCTGAAGCCTTGCCTAACTGGGAGGGATTAAGCCTACGCCTTCCTGCCTTTTTTTTTTTTTTTGCCAGTGTCCAATCACCTGAAGGAAGCAGGATAACACTATTGTAATCGTAATGATTCTGAAGACGCTGTGTATCATGTGCACCACTCCAAGAAAAGGATTTCACAGGTAAACCAATATTCCCATATATGACTATGTATACATAGTTTTACAGCCTTTTTCAGGTTTTATTTCTGTAGGAAACTCTTATCATAATGTTGTTCCAAGAAAGCTGAACTCTAGTTATCATTCCTCAAAAAGGCAGAATCTCTGTCAAATAAAAATGAGTCTGTGACAAGATTGCTGTTTTTGTTTTTGTTTTGTTTTTTCCTTCTGGTGGTATTGATAGAAAGTAAACCACCTTATTACAATGTGCAAGTAGCCCTATAATATAGCATCTGTCTTTCATAAGCCTTCAAGAGGCAATGGTTTATAAAAAACAAATAAAAAAGGCTTTTTGGACTTGGGACCGAACACAAACAAAATGTTCTGTATTCACAAATATGTGCCATTAGACACCTTATTTTCTATTTTATTATATACTACAGAGACTTGTAAATGATAAACACACAAAACTGATAGCGTTCTATGTCAGTCATCTTCCCCAAGAGTTGGCTATCAAACAATATGCTGCCTTTCTGGAGAATGTCACAGAGCCTGAACAGCGGCATCAGTGCCTGGAGCTCGCCAAGGAAGCAGGTAATGCTCACTTGTTATAGTATTGCTCATTCACGGTACATTCCACAAATGCTTAATATAATATTTGCAGCAGCACAGTATTTGTTTCAGCAGCTGTACTTGGCTTGGCCATACATGTGGACCATGGCTTCATCAGTAGCTTACCTTCCCTTTACTCTCCCACTGCCCTGTGTTAACTATCGGGAATAAGAGAGGGAGCGCTGTGTATTCTGCAGCCGCAACTCTTGTGTGTGATGCTGCTGTGTCTGACCTCTGGTGTTGGTCAGCCATTGTCTTGGCAAGCAGCAGTTTTCCGATAGACTGCACATGTGCTAACGTCTCATGTGCAAGTTCTGGTGACAAAATTGCCAGAAAAACCTTTAACAAAAGCAGTAGCCATGCAAATCACCACATACAGTAAGAAAGTACATGGAAGCGTGGTTGAGAAGCTGACTGGTAGTGCGGATGCTCGCTGAACTAGGTTTGAGGCAACAATAAAACTAGAAAAGCAAATTAAGTTGCACTGTTCATATATGCCATGATTTTGTAAAGCTACAAGTCTCCAGATAGATTCAAATTGGAGTTTTACAGCTGTAGAATTGAATGCCTACCTCTGTGCAAAGTCATGACAGACTATGAACTCATTAAAACTGTATTTTGGGTATTAATGAGCATTTTAATACTAGGTGTATGGTGTCAATAATTGTTTTATCTGTAGTGATTGCTTGCTTAAATGTGTGTGTTTTATATATATATTTGAAGGTTTGGATGTTGCAACAATAACAAAGACTGTGGTGGAAAACACACGAAAAAAAGATAGCAGTGAATTTACTCATCATGACTTTGCACCAGCCCTGGCTTCTGCCACAAGTGAGGTAAGTATTCACTGCTATTCATAAAATTAATACAACTATTTAATTCAAGAGCTGCATATTAACGGATGTAGACATGTCGTGTTTAAAGACCTCCAAACAAGAAGTACTGTCTTCTTTTGTTTTGTACCCCCATACATCCTGTTACCTAGTTCGGCTTTATGGGCTTAGTAGTCCCCTTCCCTGGGGTTAATACCCTGCAGTGTCTATATTTGTTCATTGTTGCTTTATTTGTACTAGTACTACAGCCTCACGTACAGTGTCGGGACGGGATCTCCGGGGCTTCTGATTCGGGGCACAGCAAGTATTGGGGGTGTTCTTAGAGTACCCCAGATCGCTGATAACTAGGTGAGGTGGACTGTGGTACAGTTAGATGGAGATATCCTCTGGGGTATAGTTTCTCCCACTTGAAGGGTACTGCTTTGCAAGAGTTTGTCATACCTGCTCCTCTCTTCTGAATTTGGACTGCCCCTCTTGGCTACAGTCCACATGTGTTTCAGCAGGCCATGTCTCGGCTACAGCAGGGAGGTGGGCTTTGAGGAGAGGGTTCCCAAAATCCTTCATCAGATGGCGGGGGGGGGGGGGGACTTTGATATAGCTCGCCTTGCATTATATCACCTGGGGGTTAGTTCTTTGTGGCTCTTCTTCCCTTTACTTGTCTGGTATTTCCACTACTTCTGGGACACTTTCCTCCAGCTTCTTTGTGTCAAGGGAGGGAATCCTTTCCAGTTTAGAACGTCTTGGTCACAAATGGAAATGTTCTCTTTCCCCTCCTTTCTCTTTGTTGATGGAGGAGGAACCCACAGAAGAAGAGGTGGGAAGGGGAAGTGACTTTTCCGGAAGAGACATGGAGCATTCCAAGGTATGTGCTCCTGGAGATTTTCTGCGCAAATGTGATCAGGACCAACTTAAAATTACCACTTCCTGAATCCTTTGCCCAAAAGGTTACTGAATTTGGATCATGAAGTCTGTCGCAGCATCTCTCAATCTTTCTCTGTACAATCTTGTTTAAATTATGTATTCTGCATAGACTGGGCTCACCATAAAAAAAAAAGTTTGTTCATCAAAAACTATTGGCTCTACAACATTCAATAGCAAGTGAGTTCACTAAAAATGGAGTCTGCCTGCATTGGATCCAACAGTCTATCTCAATAAGACCCTCACGGTTCCAGTGCCAACTTGTTAAAGTGGAATTCCAGGAGACACTCCTTCCTCGGTCACGTGATCTGGCTCCCCTCTGTCAGCCAACAGCAGCTGCAGGGGAAAGGAGGGAACGCCAACAATGGATGAGCCACAGGAGCCTATGGGTGCTGTCACCGCTCCCCTTCAGCTGCTGCAGGCTTAAGGGAGAGCAACTGACCAAACTGGAGAGGCATGAAAATAGGTAAGTAAATTCAATTTTTTTACACAGGTTAGTTAGCATAGGTGTTAGGAGGAGAGAGGGAGCATTTCTAAATATTAGAAAGAAAAAAAATGATTCTCGTGCGCACAGCAATAGCAAAAAAGCTAATAAAGCTGCTGCATGCATCCAAAAATGGGTTCCCACATCAACAATTGCCTAAATAATAAATTAAAAATTACTGTGCTGCTATTTAAACATATCCACATAAAACCTGCCAGCCCTTCTAACACCAGCAATTAAAGTGTAAAACTGATAACTAGCAAAGTGACCAATTCAAAGTAGAAAACCCCTTATATACATTAATATAAATGTCAACACATGGCAGCCAATCCAACCCACATACACAAAAAAGGTAAAAAAAAAAATAAAGCAAGAGACAAAAAAGTGTTGTTAAACACCCAGTTGCCCTACAAACCCATATGCATAGACATCATAAAGGAATAAATGAAAATGATAAAATATCAATATTTCAAATAAAGCAATAAATATTCAGGATAAAAGTCCAATTGTGAATCAAAAACAGCAGTGTCCTATACTGTGATCCAAAACTTGAGTGCTCCAAAACAGACATTCAGGAATCTTTCTGTAATATCACACTGTGCTCTACCACCTTCTGTTTTGCACGCTCACCTTCCAAACAAAAACCTGTATAACATACAGGTCAACAGTGCTTTAAATGGCAGCAATGACTCCCAGTCAGGACTCCTGATCTCAATATATTTTTCCACAGAAAAAAGGCTTGTCCTATACGGTGATCATGTAACCCAAAATGGTGCTCAGAACAATGCAAAAGAAAAAGTACTCGTAGTGTAAATTGTATTTATTAAATAGGCCAAACGGATTAAAATGCACTCATATAAAATATATGAAAAGAATGCTTGTCTGGACAAACAAGGGTATACCAACATGGCTTTCTGCGCCGTCACTTTTTTAGTTATCGATTTACCACTTTAATTGTTGGTGTTAGAAGGGCTGTCAGGTTTTATGTGGATATGTTTCAGTAGCAGCGCAGCACTTTTTCATTCCATTATTTTCAAATATTAGGTTTAGCTTAGAATTCTTCTTTAAGTATACTTCTGAGAAGCATCTTGAGGCCTTGTTTAACCACTTGCCTACCAGGCACTTATACCCCCTTCCTTACCAGGCCAATTTTCAGCTTTCAGTGCTGCCGCACTTTGATTGACAATTGCGCGGTCATGCAACATTGTACCTATATGAAATTTTGATCATTTTTTTCTCACAAATAGAGCTTTCTTTTGGTGGTATTTAATCGCCACTGGGCGCTTTACTTTTTGCACTATAAATAAAAAAAGTGCAAAAAATTTGAAAAAAAAAAAAAAAATATTTGCTTCTTTTATAAAATTTTTCAAACAGGTATTTTTTCTCCTTCACTGATGTGCGTTGATGAGGCAGCATGATGGACACTGATAGGCGGCACTGATGGGCACTGATAGGCAGCACTAAAGGGCACTGATAGGCAGTACTAATGAGGTGGCACGGATAGGCGGCACTGATAGACAGCACTAATTAGGGGTCACGGATAGGCGGCACTAATATGCAGCACTGATAGGCGGCACTGATAGGTGACACTGTTGATGGGTACTGATAGACGGCACTGACTGGCATCACTGCTGGGCACTGACTGGCGGCACTGACTGGCACAACCCCTGGGCACTGACTGGCAGCACTGACTGGCTGCACTGGTGGGTGGCACTGTGGGCGGGCACTGGTGGGTGGCACTGGTGGGCACAGGTGGGTGGGCACATGTGGGTGGCACTGCTGGGCACATGTAGGTGGCACTTCTGGGCACAGGTAGGTGGCACTGCAGAGTGGCATAGGTGGGTGCACTGCTGGGCACAGGTGGGTGCACTGCTGGACACAGGTGGGTGCACTGATGGGCACGGGTGGGCGGAGCTAGTGGGCGCACTGCTGGGCGGAACTTGCGGGTGGCACTGCTGGGCACCGATCATCAGGGCACTGATCATCAGTGCCCTGATGATCGGTGCCGATCCCCGCTCTGACAACTGCCGGTTCTCGGCAGTACTTTCCTCACGTCTGACAGCGTGAGGAAAGTGCAGCCGAGAACCGGCACTTGCATTTCCTTCTGATCAGCGTGTCATTGGACACCGCTGATCAGGTGGTAAAAGGCCGCTGTGATTGGCCTTTTACCACATCACGTGATCAGCTGTGTCCGTAGGACACAGCAATCACGGAGATCGCCGGGTGCGCGCCCCCTGGGGCGCGCAGGAGAGCGCGTTCTGGGAGGACGTCATATGACGTCCACTCAGAACTGGCCGGCTGCAGTGAAGCCGTCATTCGGCTATCTGCGGTCGGCAGCTGGTTAAAGTAGAAATCCATGGAAAAAAATGATTTGCCCATACAGTGGGGCTGTGCCTGCATTGCATTAGTTAAATGCTCGTTTTTGTCTAGAGGCTCTGAAAGTAAAGATATACTTGCCTAATGCGTCGATCCTCCGAGCGCCAGACCGATTCCCACAGCTCCTGCTCCCCGCATACTAGCGGTCTTGTGAATGGGCTGTTCCTGACGTTATCACGCCCGTAGACCAGCTCCGGACGTGAGGACACCAGGAACAGTCTGCCACTGCACGTGAGAGAGCGCGATCTTCCAGAGAATCGGAGAACAGGGTAAGTACAGCTTATCCCTGAGTCCCCCTAGACAAAATGAGCACTTAACCCAAGCAGTGTGGGCACAGCCCCACTGCATGGAAAGCTAAACATTTTCACCAGAATTCTGCTTTAACGCTTCTTTCATCCTGTTTGCTGCTCCCAGGATTTTCACCAAAGTGTTAGCCCTGGTCATAGGGCTCTTACAGACTCTTTATTACTGTCATAGGTTACCTGAAAGACTTTCTTCTGGAGCTCAATGTGACTCAAACAGTGCAGACTCTGAGGGGGTTTGGATGGGTCCTGAACTGTCAGAAGTCCGCCTTAGTCCCAGTCCAAAGGTAGGCTCTGTCGAGGTGGTTCCTTTTGCCCTGTTTCATTCCAGGCCCCTCCAACTGAATGTCTTGTTGACATGGAACAGGAGAACAGAGTTGTTGGACTCTCTGATGCAGTTACACCCCAGAATCAGACTCTATACTGGTGGATCTCGTCGGGAATTCTGAAGCTGGAAAAAATCTGTCCCTCCCTCTGTCTTGGGACACCCTGATGACAGACACCATCCTGGTGGGCTGGGGTGGAGTTCTGGACAATCTGTCTGTCAGTCCAGGGAACTTGGTCACTGCAGGAATGGTCATTGCCCAACAACATCCTGGAATTGAGGGCAACCTGTCGGGCCCTACTGCAGCTGGGGGGTCTCCCTGTTCAATCAGGCAATGCCATGGTGATGTCGTACATAACTCATCTGGGAGGCACCAGAAGTCGGGCTGCTCAGGAGGAAACAGATTTTATCCATTCTTGGCAGAACATCATGTCCCTGCTCTGTCCATCATCCACATTCCAGGCGTAGAAAATTGGCAGGCAAATTTTCTCAGTCAACGACTGACTCCAGGTGATTGACTCTGATTGACCCAGAGGTGTTCAAGCAACTCAAGCTAGACAGGTTAGTATGCAGGACCAAGGACCCTTGAACATTCATGGTGGATGCTATGGTGATGCCGTGCAATCTGTTCTCCCTAGTTTTATGCCTTCCTGTTGTTACAGCTTCTACCTTGTCTGTTTCACGGAATTTAGGTGGCGGGCATTTGTTTTATTCTATGCACTCCAGTGTGGCCCAGGATAACATAGTACTCTGACATAAACTTGTTGGTGGATTAACCATTGACCCTATCAGATCCACCTGACTGCCTTTTGCAAGGTCCTGTCTTCTATTCTTTACTGTCGCTGGCTTTAACGGCATAGCTGTTGATGCCAGGGTCCTGAAAGGCAGGCAGCGTCTGATTCCGTTATCCATACTCTGCTGAAAGCTAGGAACCATTGCTGGTGATGCATCATGACCAAGTGGTCTTGTGGCCTTTTTGTTATCTTTGTTCTTAACCAGGATATTGTTTTTACCTTTTTTTCTGTTCTAAGCCTCAGACGTTGTGGAACAAGACTCTTCATACCTTGGATGTGGTTTGTGCAGTTAAAAAACAGTAATAAACCCAAAATGTAATATATTGCAGCTTACCAATCTTTAAATGTGGTGGCTGCATTATTTTCTTTAGGCTTTTTTCCTGTCTGTTTTCACCTGGTGATTTGGCCAGTAACACACTTTCTGTATTAGCATGCCTACAGTCTGGATAAAGAAGCAACAAAGACAACTATCGAAAACAGACGTACTGGCTAGATCACCAGGTAAAAATAAATTAAGGCCTAAAAAAGAAAACTGTATTCATGATGTGCTGTGAGCTGTCAGCGGTTTGCTTTAGGCTCTAACTGTAAGTGACTGCTGCAATTTGTCAGCCTAACTCCCTCTTTGCGCTCAGAAGGGTCTTGCAGTTCTGAAATTTACCATTTTTCATTGGAGCCATCGGCTGATTTCTCTTGCTTACGGTCTGAAAAGCAAATTTCTTTCTTTCTTGGTGATGGCTCATTCTACCAGGAGTGTGGTTCTTCCTTGGCGAATCAGCAGCATGTTTTGATAGCTCACGTGTGTAGGGCTGCCATCTGGTGTTCAGTTCATACTTTGCTACGTTTTACCAGGTGGACATTTGGTCCCTTGTGAATGTGACCTTTGGTCAGCAAGTGTTGCAGGCTGCTATGTGAGGGTGTCACCTGTTCTGGTTCAGTTCTTTTGGGGTTTGTTGCCCTCCCCTCATGTTCAGTGCTTTGGGACATTTCTATTGTAATAAATATGAAGATGCAATGTGTCTTCAGATGTATGATGAAGAATATTGGATTTTTGTTTTAGCTGTAAAATCCTTTTCTTGGGAGTACCTCACAGGATCCCTCATCTCTTCCTTAAAGTGACATTAAACTCAATTTAGTGCCATTATTTCTGGTCACATGCTCTGTTCTATGTGTGTACTATTCAGATAGAGCTGAATGTGTCCGCACATACATGTGTAGTCCATCCTGGGTGTGAACAGGAGAGGGTGGCGCTACCCTTGAGATATGTTGCATATCCCAAGAGGCTGCAGGACCTTCACAAAGCACAGCAGGAAGCTGGCTATGAAGCTGCAAGGAGTCACAGCTGGCTTCCTACATTAAACCTGCCGTTGCCGGGGACCCAAAGACAAGCGAAGAATCAGCCCAGGTGTGGAATGCACTGGATTCCTGGATAGGTAAGTGTTTTTTATTAAAAAGTTGTCAGCAGCTACATTATTTCCTGTTAAAGAACAGCTGTAAACCTGTGTGACTACATAGTATTTTCTAAATTGTATAGTATTATATAGTACCAACAAATTACACAGCACTTTACATACAGTACATTCACTTTAGTCCTTGCCTGCAAAAGTTTAAAATCTAAGCTTGCTATCTCACATGCACACACATACTAGGAGCCAATTTAGGTAGGAGCTAGGTAACCTACCAGCATGTCCTTGGGAGCTCGGAAAGAAACTAAAGTACCTGAAGGATTCCCATGCAAGCACAGGAACATAAAAACTTCATACATTTAGATTTTTTTTCAGCACCTTGTTCCAATTGTACCAGACTTCACTACAACCTATCCATGTGACAATGACTAATTACAAAAGGGTCGTGGCTTTCTGGTAGGGGATAGCTCTTATGTGGTGTAAGTAGCAATGTTTAGTGTGAGAGACAGTTAAATGACAGTATTGCATTACCTACCTTCATTATGTACCAACTTTACCTCATATTTAGGCTAGAGGTGCACTTTTAACATAGTTTCCTAATTGTAGAAAGCCGTTGCTACAATTGACCCTAATCTTTCCTTGCAGGAGGACCGTGCAAAGATAGATGTGATAGATTGGCTAGTGTTTGATCCTGTGCAGAGAGCTGAGGCAGTAAAGCAGAGCAATGCTATCATCAGGAAATTTTTGGGTAAGAAATAATGTGTGATGTATGGTATATTTTAGGTTACAGCAGAAACAAATGATTTGCACTTTATGGCAGGATCGCCAACGCCGCAAATTTACGGTTTGTAAGAAACAACCAATTTACAAGCTGTCCGTTACAGACAGCCACTGCCCATTAAAAAATGTGCTTATGTTGTAAGGGGGAATTCTTGCGGCGGGGGGCGCTCTGGTGACCAAGACACCCTTACGTCCGAGTTCCCTTTTACATCAGGATCCACAGTGTTCCCCCTTTACATCAGGGGCCACAGAGTTCCCCCTTACACTGGGGGAACCCTACAGACTCTGTAAAGGGGAGCTCTGTGAACTCTTGTGTACTTGGATTTGGAGGGGGGGGGTCAGAGACTCCCTTATATTATAGTCTGCAGCATTCCCCCTTACATCAGAGTTCTCCTTTACATCAGAAGCTACACAGCTCCCTTTTATATCAAGGTCTACACGGTTCCCCTTTGCAATGTAAAGGGGAACCCTGCAAACTCTGATGTTAGGGGGAACTCTGTGCTGGGTTATAGTAACCTGACCTTCATGTAAAAGGAGAAATGTTTTTGCATCTTGTTATATGTTAAGTACATTACTAATCTCACTAGCTACATGTTGGTAGCTTATTGATAAGTATTGATATTTGCACTGAAAAGGTCATTTTGGCAAATTTTTAAACTGAATGAGTATATCCAGCACCCGCTGTAGCTCTTGTGATTCTTTATTTACGTGAGAGAATGTAACATACAGTCCTCCAAACTCACACATATTGACCCTCAGTGGGTCTTTATCGTAGCCATGACTATGATTAGGACCCACTGAGGGTCGATATGCATGAGCTTATAGGACTGTATGTTGTGTTCCCTCAAGTAAATAACGTAGTGCAAGAGCTACAGCGGGTGCTGGATATATTCATTCATTCAAAAATGTATTGGAGCTGACAGGTAGCTTTACTTTGCACCACACTTGCAGACATGGATATCTGACACCGATGAGCAGCAGCTTGTTGTATACTTAACTTTTTGAACTGCCAGAAAGAAAATTGGCTCTGTAAGTACATTTTTGTGTCATATCAGTAAATCTCACTTCGGGAGGTTGGTAACTCTGCTGGAAAGGGATTTTACATTTTACCTCTAAGTACCTTTATAAATTGTGATTGCTAAGTAAACTGCTCAGGTTTTTATTCATGCTTCCATTTGTCTATCCGTCTTTAAATCAAGCTGTGTCTGAGAAATGTCCAAGTGAAATGTGCTGGCTAAAGGTTGGGGCAATATGTAGCTGCCTTTTTTCTTTTTTTTTTTTATAAGAGTTAAGGAAACTTTGGAATAAGTACAACTCCAGAACAAACTACAGGATCTTGGTTGCCTGTCTTACAAATATATGATTTCATTAAAGTATTCATTACCAGGATGTATGACTATATTTTAGGATTTAGCAGTTGGATATTTCCAGGGCAGATTGAACATGCCTTTTTGTATTGATATTTTCTGATGCATGTGCTTACATTTTTAGCATTAAAAAAACATGATGCTGCAAAAGAAGTATATGCCAAAATTCCCTCGGATTCTATAACCGAAATCTATAACCAATTGGAGGAACAAGGGATGGAAAGCATTTTGTCAGCAGAGGATGACAATGCGATACGTGAACACCTGTGTATAAGAGCATACTTGGTAAGCACTGATGGCTATAGATTTCACATGTGATATTGGTTTAGCTTTTACACTGTATATATACATATTTTTTTTTAAATTTGATTCCTTTTATAGTACATCTTGGAAAACAAAGCGTCTTTATATTTAATAGGAATAGGGTTATGCTGTCACCTTCAAGTGATTGGACACTGGCAAAAAACAAGCTGAGAAATCCATGCCCAGGCATAACCCCTCCCAATTAGGCAAGGCTTTTCTGCTAGTGTCTGAAGTTGATGGTCGCAGTTGTGCAGCTCTGCATATATTTGGCTAGCTTGTCAACATTTCCACCCAGGAATCTAGAGGTTTGTTTTATCCAGATCCATTATCCTATGGCTTCCACAGTACGGCCAGTAATGTCATGAGGGAGGCAGGGCGCATCAGCGCCTGCAAGAGATCATCAGTGCAGCCTCTAGGGGGATAAACAACTTTTCTTTTTTTAATAAAGCGGCTGTACCGAACTGTGTGAGACTACAGGTTGCAGAGGACAGGCTGTGGTGCACTACATGTCACAGGAGGCTTAGTGGGCTCAACTGGATGTGTTAGTGGCAGACTACAAGTTGGGTTGACTACTGGTCACATCAAGTATAAAGGGGTCACACACTTTTCCTTGTGGGGGTGGGGACACTAACAGACCGTTTATAATAATTTTGATGCTTACTGGCACAGTGCCCCACTCATCTGGCTGAGACCACTGTCCGTCAGTAAGGGTCCCTAAATACATGTCAGCAGGTCAGTGTCTGACACACGGCATAGAGGAAGGGGATGTTGGGGTGAGGGGTTCCAAATAACTTGGGTAGAGAGGAATTGAGATGCAGCCCTTCATGCAGTGTATACCCTGAGGGTCAGTATGTTCTATGCTGTGCTGACTCTGTTTTTCTGGGGCGCTTTCCTCCAGCTCATTTGTGACAAGGGAAGAATTTCCATCTGCTATTGCTGGAGTACAGGAGCAGATTTCCAGAATACTTGCTGATTTAGAGCACCTTCTTTGAAAATGGTAGTGTTCCCTTTCTCTTCCCCCCCCCCCCCCCCCCCCTTATAGTGAAGGAGAAACCAGTGGAGGATGAAGCACAGGAAGAACAGAATATTCCAGTGGCAGGGAACACAAAAGAATCCTCATTCAAGGACTCTGCCTGCCCAAACCCCAGGGACCCAAATAGTTTTGTTCGTGTTCTTAAGGAAGTTGTCAGGATTCATTTTACCTACCAGTTTCTGAGTCCTCTACACCAAAGCTCTCAGGATTTGGATCATGGTACCCGTCACAGCATCCTCAGTCCTTCCCTATGCATTCTCATTTATAGGATGTTTGTATGTGGAATGGGCTAACTCTTGCATAAAGAGGTAAGTCTATGGTGCAAAATCCTGCTGCTCCTACTTTAAAAGCTCATTCCTTTCTACCAATTTCCATTTTTTAGGCTCTAACCCAGTTCTAGTTCTAAAGCAAACCATTGATTCCAAATCCTGCCCAACTGGGGAACATATCCTGCTCACAATGCAGGGGCTCCCCCACTCATTTAAGTGGGGGGGTGTTTGCTAGCCCTGCAGTGATTGCGGATGAGTGGGTCTGCAAACTAAAGTGGTTCAGGGCTACAAGCTGGAAATTCAGAAGACTCTCCCCTTCATGCTTATGCTTTAAAATATTTTCTTAGACTAAAACAAAAAATTTTTTTCTACAAGCTTTTGATCATCTTCTATTTTAAGGAGTAATCATTTTTCTCCATTGAGGAAGAAAAGTTACTACTCAAACCTATCAAGGTTCTGAGACTCAACAGTGCTGTTCCCATCTTTCTTCTTGTGAAGCCCAGCGAGTTTCTATGAGAGTAGAAGTTCCAGATGGAATCAATGCAGTCAATGGTGCCCTCTCTCTAGCAGGGAGTTTTCTTGGCATAAATGCTTGCAAAAAGATCAGGACTTTGGTTAATAATAAATAAACAAAAATACCAAGATCAGGGTTTGGTCTAGGTCTGTTCCAGGGTTAGTGTTTGGGTCAAGGTCAGCGTCAAATTTTTTTTTTTTGTCAGGGTTTTTTTTTTACATTTTTAAATTAGTATCAGTGTCAGTGGCGGGATAAAAAAAGAAAATTGCGCACTATTGTTTCTGGGCTGGGCTACATATACATACAAACAACTACTAACATACACGCATGTGGTATTGCTACGATCATCAGGGGCAGATGAATATATTTTGGGTTGTCCTTTGGTGGTAGGTTATGGTAGTAGCAAGAAATATACAACTAAATTTTAAAAAAAAGTTTTGGGTTTTTTTTTTACTATTTTAGGCCAGTTTTCCTTTTTGGTAATAAAAAAAAAAAAAAAAAAATCAAGAAATATCCATTACCATTTACCACCAAATGAAAGCCCAATTTGTCCAGAAAAAAACAAGGTATAGTTCACCTGGATGTGCAAAGTAGTTGTGATGATATGTACGGTTTTGCTAACACATGTCAAAGTTGCAAAATTGTGTTCAGGTGTTAAAGCGACAAAAATGGTTACCAAGCATTCACTTGGCTAAACCAGCAAGCCAGATCCTAGTGTCATCGATTAACTTTATCAGAGTATGAAAGACTATTCTAAATAATAATAATTTGAGTGCAATCGCAATCCCAGTTGGGTATTGGAAGATGTGCAGCTTGGCTTCGGTGATCATATTTGTCTTTATATAATATTAGACCAACCACTTGTTCAGTCCTTTTTCTTTGTATACATTATTCATCTGTTTTGGCTATGACTTCTAATCTTTAACAAATGAGTAGATGACATCCTGACAAACTTAAAGAAAAAGTGTTGGCAGACATTTAAAATTCTTGCCAGTTCCCTTGGTATTGTTCATATCTATTCAGTGGTCCATATTCAAGTACAGGATCTTAAAGTGAGTGCAAAGTCTAAATTTTTTTGAACCTCTTCCCACTTCTGCCTCCCAGTCCTTTAGCAGGATCTAAATATTGTGAGGTGAAGGCGGGCATTTTGATCTTGTGACTGCTGTGATTGGCAAGTATGCTTTGGGAGCTTTCTGGTACTCGCTCATTATGGTACTGGGAGCGCACTCTCGGCACAGTAGAGATGCATATATGTGGGCGCTCGGTATTAAAACCCAGCCACTGAGAGGCAGCATATATGCGTAGAAAAACACAGTAGGAAACCATTTTGTGGAAAATAGATTACAGGGCCAGTAGTAGATATGCATAGATTAATGCCACTTTAACATCTTCCAATATGAACAGTTGACATAGGGAATTCGTTGATGTGTGTTTGAAGTGAATGTGCTGCTGTTAAGGTTTAAAAAGAAATACAAACCTGTTTTTCTCATAGGAAGCGCACGAAGTGTTCAATGAGTGGTTCAAGCACATGAATTCACGTCCTCAGAAACCAACACTGGTTGAGCATGCCTCCTTCACAGAGAAAGTTGCATATGAACACACAGAAAAGAAATATGAGGTGAGTATTTTTCCCCTATTATTGCTAGTAAAATAAATGAACCATTAGCAAGCTTGACACTGGGGCAATTTGCATGGGGAGTGCCCACAGCATTTTAAGGAAATTGCTTGTCCAGTCTTAAGTTTTTAAATTATTTATATATATATATATATATATATATATATATATATATATATATATATATATATATACATACAGTGGGGCAAAAAAGTATTTAGTCAGCCACCAATTGTGCAAGTTCTCCCACTTAAAAAGATGAGAGAGGCCTGTAATTGGCATCATAGGTAGACCTCAACTATGAGAGACAAAATGAGAAAAAAAATCCAGACAATCACATTGGCTGATTTGGAAATAATTAATTTGCAAATTATGGTGGAAAATAAGTATTTGGTCACCTACAAACAAGCAAAATTTCTGGCTCTCACAGACCTGTACCTTCTTCTTTAAGAGGCTCCTCTGTCCTGCACTCATTACCTGTATCAATAGCACCTGTTTGAACTTGTTATCAGTATAAAAGACACCTGTCCACAACCTCAAACAGTCACACTCCAAACTCCACTATGGTGAAGACCAAAGAGCTGTCGAAGGACACCAGAAACAAAATTGTAGACCTGCACCAGGCTGGGAAGACTGAATCTGCAATAGGCGAGTAGCTTGGTGTGAACAAATCAACTGTGGGAGCAATAATTAGAAAATGGAAGACATACAAGACCACTGATAATCTCCCTTGATCTAGGGCTCCACGCAAGATCTCACCCTGTGGGGTCAAAATGATCACAAGAACGGTGAGCAAAAATCCCAGGACCACACGGGGGACCTAGTGAATGACCTGCAGAGAGCTGGGACCAATGTAACAAAGGCTACCATCAGTAACACACTACGCCGCCAGGGACTCAGATCCTGCAGTGCCAGACGTGTCCCCCTGCTTAAGCCAGTACATGTCCAGGCCCGTCTGAAGTTTGCTAGAGAAAATTTGGATGATCAAGAAGAGGATTGGGAGAATGTCATATGGTCAGATGAAACCAACACCACATGAAACCAAAATAGAACTGTTTGGTAGAAACACAACTCGTCGTGTTTGGAGGAGAGAGAATGCTGAGTTGCATCCAAAGAACACCATACCTACTGTGAAGCATGGGGGTGGCAACATCATGCTTTGGGGCTGTTTCTCCACAAAGGGACCAGGACGACTGATCCATGTACAGGACAGAATGAATGGGGCCATGTATCGTGAGATTTTGAGTGCAAACCTCCTTCCATCAGCAAGGGCATTGAAGATGAAACGTGGCTGGGTCTTCCAACATGACAATGATCCCAAACATACTGCCCAGGCAATGGAGTGGCTTCGTAAGAAGCATTTCAAGGTCCTGGAGTGGCCTAGCCAGTCTCCAGATCTCAACCCCATAGAAAACCTTTGGAGGGAGTTGAAAGTCCGTGTTGCCCAGT